TAGAATCTAAATAACTTTTAGGACTCGACAATAAACACACACACACACACACACACACACACACACACACACACAGACAGACACACCCCTACTCTAATTACCAATTGGGCAAAAGATGTGAAGAGACATTTATTGGAGATAATAATTCATATGGAAAATCAGCTGACTGATGATGTTCAACCTCTCTAGCCACTAGGAAATACACATTAAGCCCATGCTGAGATATCACCCTATACCTATTGAAACAGTTAAAATATGAAATAGTGACAATGCTGCCTCATGATGAGAACGCAGAGAACCTGGTTGTGGTGATTTCTTACAAAGTTAAACATGATCTTACATTAGAACCCTGCAATCAGACTTCCAGGTATTTACTCAAATGAATTGAAAACACATGTGCACACAAAAAAGGCACAGGAATGTTTATAGCAGCTTTGTTCATGACTGTGAAACTTGGAGCAACCTTGTCCTTTCATGTGTAAATGGATAAACTGTGGAACATCCATACGATGAAGTATTATTTCAGCAACTTTTAAAAGAGCTTCTAAGAATTGAAAAGATGTGGCGAAACCTTAAATGCGTATTGCTAGGTGAAAGAATTATTTTAGACTAAAAAAGCTCTTACTATATGATTTCAACTATATGACGTTCTGGAAAAGGCAAAACTATACAGATCTGTATAATACAAAGATGAACCCTTATTCTAAACTATGGACATCTGCTAATAATAATGCGTCATTATGGGTCCATCAATTGTAACAAATGTATCACACTACTGACAAATGTTAATAGTAGGAGAAACTGTATGTGGAAGGGGCCAGTGGAGAGGGGGAGGAGATGGGGAAATTCAGGAACTCTTGTACTTTCTTCCAAATTTTTCTGCAACCTTAAGACCGCTGGTAAAAACTAAAGTATTCAAAACGTGTCTTTTTATATGGGAGATAGAGAGGTTTTCTTTTTTTTTTTTTAATTCTACATGCGTCTGAGTTTTAGTGTATTTTCTATTGTCCATGTATTTATTTTGTAATAAAATATTGGAGCTATGTAAAAGAAACAGCTCTTCCTCTTTTCAAGATTATAAAGACATGGCTTTAATTTTTTTAAGCTATAGGTATAGAAACTTGCAATTTCTTACTAAGTCTTAGAAGGTGTTAAAAGTTATAAGGTGATAAACTGCAGCATAAGACAATTTTCATATGTTTGAGAACATTATTCAAATCTGGCAATGCCAACCCCAAAGCGGTGAAGAGTTCTGTGACATGAGCTAGGGGACAGGCTTTGGCAGAGCAGATGCAGAAGCAAAGCATGGAAACTCCCCGATTGGCTTGTCCTCTTCACTTGCCTTACTTGGAAAGCCCAGTTGGCTATTGGTGAATTTTGTGGGGATACCTGTGCACTTACAGAAGTTGAGTCTGGGTTAGGTTTCAGTTTGTTTATGTAAGTTGCCAAGATGTTAGAGCCATCTCAGTCTAATTGTTATGCCCGAGTTTTCGAGTCTAAGAGACCACCAAGGAGCCAACACTGATGTAAACACACGAGGGTTTATTCAGCAAGCTTAAGCTTGGTCCCACATATGCCCAACACAGAGGAGTAGGGACTTGGACCCCGAACCAGATTACAGTCAGAGATTTTAAAGGCAGAGTAGGGGTGGACTCGGCGGTGGGTGAGGACAAAGGGGATGTTCAGAAGGGCTATCATGGTAAAGAAGACTGTCAGGATATTGGAGGCCTGGTTATTATCAAGCCCAGGCCATTTTTCCCTCTAACGAGGCACTAACATGAAGACAATTGGGAGTTTTCTGGTGGAATGTCACATTCCTCCTATCAAGCGTCGTTGTTAGTGAGATTTAGGGTTAGAAGAAATTTAACTTTAAGATAGCTTCTTTGTTGTTAATCACTAGGACATTCATAAACCAAGGGAGACTCCTGTCTTGCAGGATTGTGATCTCTGCAAGTTAACTATTTGTTTTTCTTTTAGGGCAGCCAGGGGTGGCTGAGGAATGTCACACATATTACCGAGGGGAGCAGGTGGAGAGGGGGTGCAAGGTGCTAGCTTTTGCTTTGTCAAGATGGCTGTACTTATGTCAGGGCTAGTCTCGAGGTGGGTACAGCTTTGTTTTTCTTGGCCTCCACACCTATGGCCCCTAGGAAAATTACTATAACAATTCTCCCCTTTTGTTCATCTGTGCACACATGAGAGATGGATCAAAAATTTGATATTAGTGCCACTCTCAGTCACCATCATGACTAAGGTGTTCTGGTTTCCCTGTGAAACTCATAGGTTATAAGGTCAGGTTCATGGAAGGTGTTTGCACCTCAATGTTGGTGTTGTTTTAGCTTCTCCAAGTGCAGTGAGAGCATGTGATGTACTGCTGACAGCTGTGCACTGCTTGTGAATCAGAGGGCGAGTTGAAAAGAGCCAGTTTTTAGTTTCTGATTTTTGGGGAGATGTTTCTGATTGGGCGGTGGCTTTGGTAGGGTTGTGTACTATCCTTCAGAAAAACAAATGGCACAAACTGTGGGTCCCAGGATGGGCCAACAGACCCGGGTCACTGCCACTGTCCAACTGAGACTGACGGGCCACCTCCCCCGCCGTGGCCCCCTGAGCCATAGGACTGCTGAAAACCACTGAATGTACAGCCCAGGTTGGGGTGGGGAGCAGCCCCTGGGGGAGGGGGCTTCTCCTTCTGTTTGGTGCTGTGGGGGGTGGGAGAGATGAGATGAGGGACTGCCACCCCACTTAGACATGTGTTTCTTGGGGTGGAGGGGCTGAGGAGGGCCTACCTCCTTCTCCAACCCCAGCATGGCCCCTCTTCCTTCCTCATCCTTATCCGTTGTGACTGTAAGTCCAGCTCACCTTTGCCTTCAATATGTAACCAAAGGAAAACTCAATGCTGTTTCCACCGCTGTCTGCCCAAAAAAATATGTCTGGAGACCAGCTTTTGCTCTCTGTCTGGAGACCCTTTAGAGAGCACTACTGGGAGATTACCAAGGTGGGGGGAGTATCTTTCTTAGTTCCCACGAACCAGAGCAGTTGGTATTTGTGTGTTTGAGCCAAAAGGCTTGTTTGTTAATTTCTTGTATTTGAGTTTCTATAATACCAGAGGTGTGGATCCAGGAGCAGCAGGAGGTATCAGGTATGGCACAGACTCCTTCTTTGGTCAACAAGCGATCTACAGCAATTTTATTACCTAAGACCACATTATCCACTCAAAACAATCCCTATGCCAGAATGGTGTACTTTGGGATGACATATTCTGCTACCCTTCAAAGTCCTCTTGCTTTGGTTTATGCTTTTTGAAATTTTTGTAATCCGGGAATAAAATTTTGAGAAAAAATAATGGAATTTATAAATTTTTGTGTTCACTAAGCATGGTAATTACTCTTCTTGTATTTGTCTTTTAATTCCTATAATAACTCAATGTGGTAAAAATTGCCTTCAGTATTTTCATGAAAGGAATCAGGTAAATTGAGTTAAGTAAGGTATCGATGAACACACAGCTGGCAAATGTAGAGTAAGATGAAGCCCAGTTTGATGTCCATTCAACAGCTCTTATTTGCCACTCTATCTAACTGTCAGGATAATTGATCTTCATGGTTTGGGGTAGGCTCTGGTATCCAGTTAGAAATAAACCTCCAGTAATAGTTTCACAGATAAAGAAGCAAGCACCCACTGTGTTTCAAACATTTTTTCATTCCATTTTAACCTCATATACTGCCCAAGTTCTGACTTTTCACTTGGTTTTTCAACCCAGGGATACATACTCAATAAAATATTAATACTTGTTAATAAATAATTAGTATATAATTAATAATTAATAAAATATTAATCATTGTTCAAGAATAGGTCAAACCATTCTCCTAGTAATAAAACAGGCATCCAAGACCATGTTAATAAAATGGGCAATGCTGATCCACAGTGTCCAATCCTATTTTGCCTTAAAACTGGAGTGGGTGTCATTGAAATGTAAATCCTATAATATATATAAATCCTCCCTACTCTGCTACCTTCTCCACTCCCATTTACTCCACATCATCAGTCATACTCATTATCTGTGGCTAAAATCAATGCTTTAACATTTATTCTACTAGGATCCAGAAGTATCATTGACTTGGAGAACCAAAATCAGATTTTGAAACCATCCCTAAGCAGAGACCTCCCAATAAACCAACTCTACTTTTTAGGGTTTTCATAGGGGCACTAGACCATAGTAACTGGATTACATGCAGATGCTGTGAAAGAGGCATGGTCTTTTTTTTTTTTTTATTAAAAAAATATTTTATTTGGGGTACCTGGGTGGTTCAGTGGGTTAAGCCTCTGCCTTTGGCTCAGGTCATGATCTCAGGGTCCTGGGATCAAGACCTGCATTGGGCTCTCTGCTCAGCAGGGATCCTGCTTCCCCTTCCTCCTCTGCCTGCCTCTTTGCCTGCTTGGGATCTGTCAAATAGATAAACAAAATCTTTAAAAAAAATTATTTATTTGTTTGTGTGTGTGTGAGAGAGAAAGAGAGCGCACAAGCAGGGGGAGTGGCAGGCAGAGGGAGAAGGGGTCTTTTGCTGAGCAAGGAGCCTGATGCAGGACTCCTTCTTAGGATGCTGGGATTATAAACCAAGCTGAAGGTGGACACTTAACCAACTGAACCTCTCAGGCATCCTGCGGCACGTTGTTAATGAACCTAGGTATTTCTTCTTCTTCTTCTTTTTTTTAAGATTATTTATTTATTTAGGAAGCGGGAGGAGGGGCAGAGGGAGAGAGAATTTCAGGCAGACTCCACACTGAATGTGGAGCCTTTGCAGGACATGATCTCAGGAGGCTGAGATCATGACCTGAGTACAAATTGAGAGTCAAACACTTAACCAACTGGGCCACCCAGGTGCAAACTTAGATATTTCTGATTGCTTACAGAACTTATCACATCCACTAAACATTTACACATTTCATCGTGAAAGAATCACATTTATTCCCTAGTCCCTGCAAAGAACTGGCTTAGACACCAAAACTTCATCTCAGACTCATCCAATAGTTTATTGTGTTCAAAAAATCACAATCACAATTTGAAGAAACCCAAGCAATAAGTGTAGAAGGGATGTCTGTGTTGAACATTTATAAGGTTCCATAGCAGAGAAAAATCCAATGAGGTCTATTCCAGACACACTGCATGGTGATATAAAAACGGAGGAAAACAGTCCCAAGGAGGGACAACAAACAAGGAATGACTAAATAACAGAATCTGGACAGATCAGGAGGACATTATTATTTTTAGACTATTGAAAGGTCTGAAAAATGTGGAAGAATGGTTATCTTCAGAGAGGTGAATGGTTGGAGTACTGCCAGGTTTATAAAGTTTTTGAAGCACAAATTTCTTCACTGATTTCTTTAGGAAACTCCATTGCCTGTAGTAGGACACACATAGTTATTAAAGAGTTAAGATGAATATTTTACTCTTTTTCAGATTCCTTCCCCCTCTTCCTTTGCCCTTTGACTTTGGAAATGTCTCTGAATATTCATCTGACCTCTGCCTAGTGAATACAACCTTTCCAACATGAACTGCATCCCCTTCTTTCTAAGTGAGCATGAATGAGCAGACCATGGCTTACCTTCTCTTAGAAGTTTCAATACCAAGTTTCAGATTACAGAACCAGAAATAAGCATTTGCCTTCAAGGAATTTTTGTCTGATGCAGTTAATTTATTCTAACCCCCAAAAAGCCAAACTCTGGAAATATTTCTGAACTGAGGTACTGTTTCAGAAAATATGTACCAGAAAGTGCCAAGCCTTTCCTAGATCATTGATTCAGTAGTGGTATGTGAAACAATGGTCTTAGATGGTGGAGATAATTTCCAAGACTGAAGTTGTGGTGTAGGAACACCCTTATGGGAATGAATGTGGGACCTTGAAGCTTTGGGATACCAGATGATGCTAATGTCTGATTCAGTCCTAGCAAAGATAAATCAAGAGTCACGACCTTCCTATCACTTTCCTTTAAAGATATCACATATCCTTCTTCCCACTCTGTTTCCTTCCTTTGGGTAATTCCATCCATGTTTTCCTCTGACCACATCAAACCGACCTGTAGTGCTTCACAGAGGCCCTCGGCATTCACCAGCATTGGTCTTGTGCAAGCCCTTGATGATGAAGATGGTCCCGACAATGATACCCACCAAACCCACAACCAGGCTCAGGGCACACACCACATTCTCAGGTGTCTCTGGGAGAGGGGTTGGTGGTTCAAACTCTGGGGAAAAATAATACAGACCATAGTATGGAAGTAATGACTGTGGTATGGAGTAGCACTTAGAACCAAATGTAGAGTACGTAGTCAAAAGAATAGTCATTCATCAATTAAATAAGAGGAAGATAGAATGATGTCTTAAGGGAACACAGATTAAAAAGCAGGAAGAGCTGAATAATGGGAGAAGACAAGGAATAGAAGTTATAGCAATTGTTATGGACAAGTTAGGGGACTCTGGGTCCTAAAGCATCAGACCCATGCGTCACAGGAGGAAATCATAAAAGAAAGGAGAACGAAGAATGGTCCATACCCCAGTGTTTGAGAAGAGGCTCCTCCAAACCCCAGTGCTCCACCTTGCAGTCATAGACATCGTTGGCTGAGGGCAGGAAGGGGAGATAGTGGAACTTGCGGAAAAGGTGGTCTTCCCTGGGCAGGAAGACTGTCTCAGACACTCCTGTGGTGACAGGGTTTCCATTTCGAAGCCACGTGACATTGATCACTGGTGGGGAGAACTTGTCGATGAAGCAGATGAGGGTGTTGGGCTCTCCCAGTTCCACAGGGGTGTTTGAGAGCACAGTCACCTCTGGAGGTACTGGGGACAGAGGACAACAATTAGCCTTCCCTGCTTAGGTTAGCCCCTCTCCCTCCCACTGAAGCAGAAAAAGCAGTGGAAACTCTGCCTTGAGAATCTGTGCCATCCATGGTCTCAGAGACCTATCTCTGATGCTCTCTCACATGAACTGGAACCAGTGTTATGGTATAAGAGATAGAAGGATATTTTAGGTACTGGAGATCATTTCATTCCTGGTTCCTCCGGCATCGATTAGGGGCAATGACTCTGTGAGTGACTGTTGGTGGCAGGGACAAGATGTGAGCCCATCAGGAAAGGAACAAATTCATGTAAAGTTCTTGAGTCTGTGACATGACAAGTAGACACTTGCTTATGGAGAGGCTGGGCCCCTGGGAGAAGTCAGTTATAATAACGTAACACAACCAGCTGAAGCATCTATTTCAAAGTTAGGATTCCCTAGTCTAGGAGTGCAGTAGGTACCGTTGGTGTTTGCAGTGTGGTTGGAGCACTTTATCATGATGTCTAGGTTAGCTTTGTCCACAGCTATGTTAGCCAAGGCACCCTGTGCCTCAAAGCTGGCAAGCGTCCAAATCTTCCAGCTGCCACACTGTCTCCTTCTTTTCCATATCCACGTGGAAAATCTCATCACCATCGAAGTCAAACATAAACTCGCCTGATTGGTCAGGGGTCAGATAGAACTCAGCCTGGATGATCACATGGTCCTCTGAAAAGGCAGGAAAGAGAGTTAGGATGGGAACCAGGAGGGGGCGAGGAAGAAGAAGCCAGGATGTGAGACAAATATGTGGGTGCGTGTGGGGGAGCTGTGCATGGAGCAGATCTGTATGGAGTGAAAGTGTGATGGAGAGCAGGGAGGAGTGGGAAGATGAGGCTCAGGCGCAGGACATCCATGCTGAACAGAGCTAGGAGGGGAGAATGAAAGGGACAGAGTTAGAGAGGGTGGACTGAAGGAAAAGGGGCCTGAAAATCCCAGTCTTTTGAAGCTGTTGTTAGGTTCCATGTTACTAGCTGAGAAATGATTCCCTATGGAAATCCAGCAACAGCTCCTAAAAGAGAATTCCTCACTCACAGCATTTTCCCAGGTATTAAATATACTTTTGCCTTAATTTCAGAGGCTCTTTCAGGGTATTGAAGCTCTAAGAAGTGGGAAAAACTGTTTCAACTGTGGGTCTGGCGTTTGGAATCAAATGAAATCTTAAATTCTCTTCTTTTCTCAGTGGAGATAAAAAGGACATACAAGATTGTATTAATTTTACAAACATAATAGAATATTTGCCATGTATACTTAAGTATATAATGCAATTGGTATCAGCATACCTGGCCTTCCCTTTCCTGGTGTAGAATGTTGCTTTGGGGGGACTTTCCTTTCTTGTGATCCTCAATATGTTTGTGCTCAAAATATGCTGACAGGATTCACATGCCAAAAAGCAACTACCATGTATTCAGCTAAGAAAGGAGCAGAGAATATTGTACTTTTTGTCATTTAATCCCCAAAAAAGATTTTACATTTTTGAGTACACTAATTTTCCACAAAGAGAAATTGAAACCCAGTGGGTAGCTTGATAATGCTTTCAGAAAATATTTCCACCTCAAATTTGGCTTATTCAAAGTCAATTGTATCAATGAAATCATTTCTCACTCTTCTAAACTAAACATGACTGACTTCAGTTTGTAATGGCAGAACTCCTCCAGACTACAGTTTATTATACTTTCAGATTATAGGCACACAATACCTGTCACGCTTTTCTTTTCTTTCAATTCCAAAGATTGTTTTGCAAATGTCTACAGTTCAGCTCTCCAGTGCTCTCAGAACTTACATCCCTAGCTTTGCTTCTCTCAGCACTTACCTTTGATAACCCAGGATTCCTGAGGACCCATCAGGAAAGCCATGATAAAGAATCCTGACACCAGCCATTTTGGGGGGGGGTTGTGATGGGGGTCAGTAGAGCATAAGACTGGGGTAGAACTCACAAAACTAGAAGAAAAAGAATAGAATCTGATGTTAGAATTCAAATCAGTTGAGCTCCAGCCAATCAGCAAGAACTTTTGAGATGATACATCTGTTACTAAGGAAAGTGTTCTTATAAATGGTTCAGGAACAGAACTACTTCAGTCTTTAGATAAAGAAGTTAAGTTCTTAAACAATCAAATAAACAAGTAATCAAATAAAAACACAGAAAATCATGTTCTTGAGGGGGTTGGGAAGTCACTCACCAACTCTTCCATTCCAGCCCAAGTTCTAGATAGACATGTACTTGAAACTTAATAGTGAGAATAGAATGATAGAATCATTCTAAAGTGAGAGCTAATGACAGGTCATTCCTCTGTGCTATGACAGCTGTGGACTTGAAGTAAGGAATAATAAATCACCTAAAGAGAAGATAAATTGTCCTGCTATGGAGAATGCCTGATTCTTGGCAGCAGTGGATGACAGAGTTTCATGTCAGAAGCTTCTTATTGCTCTAGGTTTGTCCTCCAGTATCCTAGACTCCCAGATGGCCAACTCGACCCAAGAGTTGGGCGTTCCTGGCACTGTGCTATATGAGAGAACATCAGAGGAGAAATTCTGAGTGTCAACACTCCCAAAGCTGGAGAAAGATGGTAGATACACCATAGGTAATAGTTATTGGAAAGAGTGGACTGTAATCCTTACCATCTTAAGTATTACCAGAGATTGGAGGAGATTGCTGGGGACATATCTCATGTGAGAACTCAGATCGATGAATAGGGTGGACTACATTGGGCAGAGCTCACTTTACTGGGAAGGCTAGAGATAATAACCTACGTGAGGGCTTTATCATAACTTTCCTCCTGTCATAACATTATGAAAGCTCTCCTCATGTCATAAATGATCAAAGTTCTGAACCTAAGAATTCATTTGGTGTTCATTATTGAGAAACTCAACATTAAGCTACTCTGACCTTCATGTTTCTGAAGGAACAATGCAGGAAAAAGGAAAATTAAAGCACACATAGAAAGCACTGGAATCCGAATAATTCCAATACAGAGAGACCTGGCGTCGGGCAGCTGTTCAATGGTGAGTTCACTGTCTAATATCAGTCATGACACATATGCTCAGGGTGGGTTTCTACACTGTTTTTCTGAGATTTTATCCTGCCCCACAGCTGCCCTCACAAATCATGAGGGGGAAAAAATCTTACACATTATTGACTGATCACCTCCAGGGGCTTTGAAAATTCTCTGACGCTGACTTCTAGGTCACTTGGAAGAGACCCACAACATGATTTTGGGCTAAGATTGTTAAAGAATACACTTCTTGGAGGCAAAGGAATGGGCTCTACAATATCAGTCTCTGCTGAGAATCTGGTCCTATGATTTAGGCTTGTTGCTCTCATAAGGCGCTCTCAGTAAATATATGGTAAACTTAGAGGCCTTTTATAGAAAAACTTTTCATATGTTGTAATAGCATATTCAACCCAAGGTGTTGTTCAGCAACTTATGATATGGCTTATTTTTAAAGCAGTTATTGGTTCTCTTCAAAATTACTACATTTGGGAAAACAGAAAGTACTTTCATTTCTCTTCCCCTGTGACAGGAAAAAAGTTCCTATCCAGACACTACTCATGGTCCCCTGTCCCTATACTCTAGCTTCCTATGTCGGAGGGGATTTCTGAGGGCACCTGAGTGATGTCACCTTCTCGGTGACATCAAATGGAGAGGAGCCACTGTACTAGTCAGAGTTCAATCTGAAAATAGAAGATCCTGTAAGACACTCTACATAGAATTGTTTGTTATAATTTGCCTGCATTTGGGGGAATTATACCTTTAAATTGTTAGGAAGCCTGGAGGAGCACAGGTCAATGCAGACCCCTATCTCCAAGAGGTCAGGAGTCTGTGGGAAGACACTGCCAACATCCCGTCTCCTCCAGAGCCCCAGAGAAGGGACTGTGTTGGCAACACAAGGCTGCTGCCAAGTCTCCTGTTGTGACGCCCTTGTGTCCACTGCAGGAGATGGCTTCAGCCTACCTGCCCCCTCCCAAATCTCACAATACTAACTTTCACTGGCAGTGGGTAAGCCACGTCCCCATCCTGGGGCAAGGAGAGCCTGGGAACTGTAATAATCTTACTTCTATTCCCTACGATACAGAGAAGACAGAGAAGCTAATAATTTTATTTACTTATAAATAAAGGAAACAGAGAGAGAGCATGTACATGAAGGGAGGAAGGGGAGTGAGAGTGGGAGAGAATCTCTAATGGACTCCATACTGAGTGGGGAGCCAGACATGGGCTTTGATGCCAGGACGCTGATATCCTGGCCCGAGCTGACATGAGGAGTTGGGTACTTCACCAACTGAGCCACCCAGGCTCTTTGTTAATGGGAATTTTTTAAGTTGCTAAATGAAAATATATTTGTATCTTGATATCCTCTATCTATATCATCTATTGTTGTCCACCATGGATCGCTCAGGTTCTTTCTACAGAGGCACACCAAACCCAGAGAGAATACTTATTGGGGTATTTGATGAGGCCTTAGAAATGGATAGTTCTCACATGCACCCAGGGCATGTCTGGGACCTCACTTCAGGAACCTCCAGCTCTTTCCTTTTGCTTCCCTTCCCTGCCTTTTCCCCTCCTGTAGCCCTCAGAACTTCCTATCAGAGCTGCTAGGGAGTGGGGTGTGGGAGGGGGGTGGGATGGATACTGATCCAGATATTTCCTTCCCAAAGCTCTCTATAAGAAGCTTTACTTGTTCTGTTTCATTTCTCCTTCTCATCTTGAGAGCAGACAGAAGCTAGTCTTGCGGAAATAAATTTCTATCAGAGTGAAAATATCAACTGCTGATATCAAGAAAAGTGCTAGAGTGGTAGGGTCATTGGCCTTCCTAACCTGTTGTGTGCAAATGAAGGGACTGGGGTGTTTGGGTTCATCTCTAACTTGGGAGAGTGGCAGTTTGTGAATTTGATTTGTTCTCTCTTCACCTGGATCTGAAACATGACCTTTGACAGCTCTGAGGGTTTTGTCTTTTGTTTTGTTTTTATAGGCCCTGGAGTTGTGAAATCATCCTTCTCTGTTTGGGTAGTGTTTGTAAATAAGAACATGAAGATACACGTGCGTGTGTGCACACACACACTCATTAGCAGAACTATTGTCCTTGCTATATAGGCAGTATAGCATACCGCATTATTTATTTATTAAATTTTAATGAACAGACCATTCTAAAATTCCTGTAAGTTGCACAAGCATATCTGAATTCAGCAATTAGATTGTTTGGAACAGTATAATCATCAATATTCCCAATCTGATTTAAGATAAATCCTTTTCTATCCCCTGCTGGAAATTTTTGCAGGCAGAGGTGAGTTTGCTTCTTCTTACTCATGTTCTAGTTGGGATGGGTTCAGAGAGAGGGAGGAAGAGGAGAAAAAGCAGGAGAAGTCCTAGTGGAGGTAATATGTGTTCTCTGGGACTGAATGATGTTCAAAGCAGAGATTTCCTGTTGTGTGAAGTTTTTCAGGCTCTTCATATTCCCTCATGGCCTCTGTCTGTGTGTAGGAGATACTGAAAGATCCTTTGTGCCTATAGCTTGGGAAGCGCAGACCGTTCCCCACATGGCCACCCTTTCCAGGATCTGCCACCAACAAACAGGTCCATCTGCCTTTCCCTCTAGGTTTCCTGCACGGGGTCAGGAACAAATTCCATTGTCCTCAGTCACCCAGCTTCCTGGCCGGTAAAGGAAACTCTTGGTCTTCCCAGAAAATAATTTCACCACATTCCAGTCAAGTAAGTTCCTCCCTTTCCCACATATCTTAGGGAGAGAGGATAGAATTCATAATTAAGCACAGATCTGTCCACAGGTATCATGAATATGCTGTCTCCTTGACTCTGACCACCATTTGGTCAGTGGAAAGAGAATAATGGAAACATATTTTTCTCACTTTAAAATTCTGCAAAACAGGGAAGGAATCGTTTCATAAGTCCATAGATGTCTCAGCATTAAAGTGCCCTTAGGTGAGATTAAGGAAAGAAGATAGACATTAAATAGACATGATATGTGAATGTTGCCCCCCATTAGCCACATATACCATAACTTTAATACAGTGAAAGAAATGAACATAGAACCAGCAATGTGAGCTATGTTTCTTCACCCGATTTTTCTTCCAGAGTCATAGAGAGAGTACACTTACAACATGGCTCTTCTTAGAGCAAGCATAATGCAATGGTCTGTCTGTTAAAACTTGAGTTTCTTTCAAACTTTTAAGCCTCCTGCTTTGTTCCTGAAGAAAATTGGTATTCGAGGGATCAGTCAGGCCTGTGCTCTGTTGTTTTGCTCACAGTATAGCGTCCGTGTATGGCTAAGTTAACAAAGCACATCGACTCCTGGGGCGTGTGCTACATGGAACCGATTAGCACTGAAGACTGTTCTTCCGGAGGACAGTACCCAGCTTTCCGTGGGGACCCTGCTTCTTGTCAGGAGGGAATTCAGGGTTTGGGTTTTGAGAACTGACTGAGTCCAGACAATAGTGCACGTGTTCCTGCCCCCATGACTCTGGGCATGTGCAGCATTCTGTAGAAATGTGGACCCATTGAGCGTGATCTCTGCTCACGTGTGCAGAGTGTTAGAATGTCTGAAGAGCATCCTGTCTGACACTCACTCTTTCCTAATGGGTGTGAGTCACGATGTTAGGGTCCGTGATCAAAGGAACGAGACTGATATAAAGCGAAAATCAAACAAAGCTTTATTTCACGCCAAGCATCAAAAATCAAACTGACCGGTCAGGGCTGTCTCTTACGAAAAGGTGATGACGATGACCCCGGCAAGTCCGCTCTCAACGTGGCTGCTCTGGACGAGGCCTTTCTGCAGATGAGGCCACTCTGGACGAGGCCACTCCCAGGACGAGGCCGCAGCTGATGAGGTTGCTCCTCAGACAGGGCTTCTCCCCGGAAAGGCTGCTCCCTGGACAGGGGCTGCTCCG